TATATAATGTCAACTTTTTCAACAGTAAAATGATTTCTGTAGTCTGAAAAGAAAAAAAACATAATTTAAGACGATCGACGTTATTATGAATTATTTTTCTGCTATTGACACTGTGTTGGACCAACGGTGTCTATGTAGCATATGATAGTTTTGAATGCATTTAAAACAGTATTATTTTAATATATAAAAAGAGTTTACAACGCGTTGTGGTCACAGTAAAATATCCATATAGCGAAATTCGCGTATAGCTCTTGTAGAAACGCTCGCGACGCGGTCGATCGCAGAAGAACCACATATCGAAATCTGTGTCGTGGCTGACATGCTATTCGACCACAACGCGTTGTGGCAATGACGAAAAACCACGAAGCGCACTACTACAAATTTCGCTATATTATTATTATTTTTTTTATTGAGGAACAAACAGTTTTACAGTTTTATACATATATAGTTATAGTTATTCATATTATAGCTATTCTGCGACTGTCAAAACGCGCTTTGAAATAATGTTTTTCGCTTGATGAGCGATTTATATCTTCAAGCGTAACATATACACTAAGTGCAATTTATTGAAGGAAAAATCCGCTTTTTCGTATCTTTATATTAACAATTGACATCTACATGGATACCCGAATTAATGATCACAATTTGCACCAATAATACGTTCCCATCCCAATATATTTATAGCACCATTTCAGGCTAGAATACGAACAATCTCTCGTAACTGTAACAATCAAGATAGCGAGAATATATTGGAAGTCGTTTTTTTTATCGCATCGATTGTGCTAAATGACAAAGGAATATAATTGTTACTGACAAAAATAGTCATACAGTGAGAATTGAGACTTTTAATAAAAGAAGAAGTACATTTATTAACCTTTTAAATTATTAATTTAATACTGCCAAGAATAAAAAGCAAATAAGTGATGACCGATTAGAATTATACTTGTAAATCCGTACTATTATTATAAATCTAATAGTTACTCTGTCTGTCTGTGCGTCAGCTGTCAGGATTTCACGCCTAAATAAGTGGATTGATTTTTTGTTTGGTGCACAGATAAAGCTTAAACCCTAGGAAGTGCTAACACTGAAGCCTGAGAAAAAATAAGGAGTGGCTAGTTGTATGGAAGTTGGGCAGTGTCACAGGTCAATAAAGTTTCATACTTTGTATACAGGGCACTTTAAATGATATTAATAAATATTTAACATTTTTAAGGTTCTTTCCAGAACAATATTATACTACGCGGATAAAGTCGATTTAAAAGTATATTATACTACCGCAAGTGAGGTGCTCGATGGTGTAATGGTAAGCGCGTTCGATCTGTGATGCGGAAGTTAAGCATCTGTTGCAAAAGCCAGTTATAGGATGAGTGACCAAAAATTTATCTCCTCCTTGCTTCACGGGCTTCGGGTGCATTTGTAGATGTCAACACCCACCAATTCACAGTGTTCATTTAGATTCAATTCAGTCCATAGGTTAGGCCTCCACCCCAGCGGTGGGGATGACTATCGTAACAAAACTGATCGCAAACCGACGATCAGAGTTTTGTACTGATTATTAACCGGCAAATCTTCAATTTTCAAAATGAACTCTAAGAAACAGCTTAGATCTCCAAGTGAATTTTTCTCTGAGTTGCAAAAATCTAATTTTATACTCATCCATCAATAACCTCTGAGGTACAACCTCTGAGGGTTCGAAATGCAGACGCAATTTCCCTGAAATCCTGTGAGACTATTTCTAGGTCAAATAAATACGCAGAAAGCATTGGACGTATGCCAGTATGGCCCGATGGGTCCGCCCGTTTCATATAACACGATATGGGGTGGATATATCGAATAATAGTTATACCAAAATTGACCATTGATCAAACACATTATATCGCTCCAATAAGAATCAACTACATATGAATTGTATACTGTTCTATTGAAAACAACGTTCTTATATGTACGAGTACTTTTATGTTATTTGGTAAATGAAATAAGTTTATGAATATCTGATGAGCAACGAACTATTCTCGATTGGAATTATACGGAAAGTTCGACCTCAAGTCCTTGTTTATTTCTACATCCAAAAGGACGTCAAGTTTCTAGAAAAGGTTGAATTTCTCCAATCAATTTTGAACTCAACTAATAACAGCTTAAAGCGTTAAATAATCATGATCTTCCTGACGTGTATTTGGGGTCAGTTAAGTATATCCTCTTATTCTTTTCTTCTCTGTCAACATAATTTACTGCCTTTACTTTTATATCGTGAGACACAAAGTCTATTTAAACATTCCTTTAGTATTTCTTTTGATCTCTATCTATTAATTCGTTTATCATCCTTTATCATCTCATGATATGTCGATATCAAGTGTGATTAAGGCATAAAATCCATCGAAGAGATTAATAACGTTCTGTCTTCTTTATTTTCTACAGAATGTATCTTCTCGACTATCAGAGAGTATAATACGAACAGAAAGATAAAATTATTCCAAAAATAATACATGAAAAATAAATCAACAAACAATATTCCATATTACTATAGATACACCTTACGTAAAATACGTTTGTAAAGGTTTAATTAATAGCTACTACTATCTAAAAATAATATTGCGGATCGTCAGTATACTCACTAAAATAAAAGCAAAGCAAAACAAAGTTAACAGAGCCATTCTAATAACTAAAGCTTTATGAAAGAGTTTAAAGAAATCAACGTAAATTTGGAGATTTTTTGTATTGGTTTTCTTTTCATATTCAAATACCCGCAATGAAACAACATTCTAATAACAACCGACAGCATCTTTCATAATCCGATTACGAATAATGGCGACCGAAAATCTTTAAAATATTAAATTTTGTTCCTTTCTTATTTCACGTATAAAGGTTTCCTTATCAGCTGGAATGGAAATTTGATGTAGTACATACATAAAAATACTGCAGGTAATAAAATGGCCGTAAAACATCAGCCACTAATCTCACGTTTGTAGGATGATGCATCGATGATTAAACGGATATGCATAGTTTATCTCTAAATAGATAACGAGAGAGACCTTGAGATTTTATCGAATAGAAAGATGTCGGTTCAGATATATTCATCTCATCACATATTTTGTAAATTATTTATATACTGCAAATGATTTTAAAGTTTAAGTAAGATATTGTGTCAACTAGTGTACTTAGAAACGACGTTGTAATATAACTTTCACGTAAAATTTCATGTTATTAGGCTAGGCTAACATTATCCATTATATTATAAATGTTGTAGCAAACTGAATTAATGGTTCAATTGTACGGTTCTTTTAATATCGCAGATACCACATGTTGCCCCAATACAAACGTAGAGCAATAGTGGACATCGTATTGCCTTGCCCTGCAAAGCGACCGCATAACTACTCTAGTTATAACTATAGTCAAAGGATTCGCCATTTTAGCGATAACTTAGCACTTATTTATTTTATTTGCTACTTTGACATGTACATAAATAACGATGAACGAATGATAAATCTGGATTTCACAGCATTGTTTTCAACTTGGTCGCTTATACTAAATTTCTCCACCAGACCACATGTCGAAGAAGTAGGATGAAACGAAATATCTATCTATCCCTAAGATGTCGTATACTGTGGCTTGCGTTATGGCTAGAGAGTCGCACCTCAGAACTGCTCTCGACAATCAATCTAAAATTTCCTAACAGAACCGTAAGTTATACTTTCGATGGCAATGTATTTCTTTTATGTATGTTCACCGATATTTCTGCAAATTGTTGCCCTATTTTCAAAATTATTGGGGCGGCACCATATATAATATTTTATCGAATTTGAATTGATAGTTTTGTTTTTATAACAAACCAAAATATGTTTTTTACCAAATATCACATACTCAAATATTTTTTTAACATACGAGTACGTATATTAGCTATTACAGTATTTTGCATTCATTCGAGGAAAGAGATATTTTCTATGTTGGAACTCATCTCAGAGTACCAGACACAAAGTGGATTATTTAAGCATTTTTAATTAAGGAAATCTCCAATTTTAAGACTATGTTGACATATTTTTTTCTTGTAGATGTTTAATATTTTTAGTAGCTATTTTTAAAAAAATCAATATCATCAACAATATTTGTTTTTTCTAAAAACATAGTATTGACTCGAAATTTATAAATTGTGAAAACTAAATTAAATGTTTTGAATTATGCACATCCAGTCCTTTCATATGATACATCACTTGAACTAGTGCCATCCATCTGAAATTTACGATAGTTGCTTAGCTAATTACTGCGCCATAGAGTTTATCTAGATATTTTTTGATAAATAAAAAAACCAAAGCACGTTTGGTTTGCGATGCGGAGGTCCACTAATACGCAGGCACCAGCCACAAGACGAGTCACTAAAAATATAACATCTCGAAATCCTTGCTTCGATTGGTGCGTAAAGCCCCAATGGCTTTCTCCGGCTACATCTGTAGACGTTAACACCCACCAATCTCAATACAAACCTCATGACTTTTGAAAGCTTAATACATTACTGTTAATATAAAAGTAGGTTTACCGTTTCCATTAGGCTTTATTACCATTACTTTAAAAGTAAAAATGTAAACATCCTTTCGGGTATCGGCAATAGTCAACGAATAAAAGCCTAAAAGTCATCGACTCGTAAAAAAAGCCGATGCACAACAAAAAGGTCTCCTTCAACCGCAAACGTCAAGTCATTCCTATTATATCATTATCGATTGTAACAGCCATGGCATTCTGCAAAACAGCTGAGGAGTACGAGGTTATTCAGCCGGGTTGTTTAGACGCAATGCAGATCACGTGTGCGCTGACCAACCTAGCACCTTCGTGAACGCCCTGCCGGCTGTCTGTCTTCTTCATTCTTTCGTTTTAGCAAGTGTGGAGGTGAGACAGGTGATCGGGGTTGATTAGACGCCGGCGCGTCGGCGGTCCGCGCAGCCCCGGCGGTCGATGGTGAGTGCGCGCGCACTCGTCTGGGCAGGCTGTGTTCGAACCATTCCGAGCGGAGTGCCCGTCCTGAGTGGTCGGTCGCGAGCGCTACTCTGGGCGAACCGTCGGCAGTCGCGCCGGCGCCGCCGTCGGCAATGGACCACGACGAGGAACGGTCCTTGTCTCTAGGCACGGAGGTATCAGCCTCCGTGCCGCCCCCGAGCCCTCTTACGGGATGCTATTTGCTCGCTGTCGTAGGGGAGCCTCACACGCACGAGCACAAGGAGATTATCCTCCAGCGACTTGTCAAAGGTGAGTCAGAATATCACACATTGACAGCTGTCACACGGAATCCAATTTACCGGCGGCGGCGGTCGGCCGCATGAATTTCCCTACATGTCTTTGCTTTCTCTATTCTATTGATTCAGCTCTGGAGCAAACATCTAAATTAGTCGATTTTTAGATACTTTCTTGTTTATTTTTGCAATATCGGTGCACGTCTTGCGGTTGCGCCGCGCGCCGGCAATTATTATATTATTATTTTTTGGTGACCGGTATGTTTTCCTGTTACGTCATCCGTGATACTACGCTTTTTCTATGTAAGTGATTGAACTAATGGAGTAGCAAATTCTATACACGGACGGAAAGAAGAGAGCGTGATAAACTTAATAACCATTTTAAATACGGGCGTGTTGTTTTTTGCGGTGTTTTTGTCTGTCATTAATTACTTTATTCACATCGAACAAAACCATCGGCTTTTCGTGTAATAAAATACTTTCTATTTGGGTTAAAATGTTTTGTCTGAACGCGGCATCCAAAAATCATATTAAAAGTGGAGCAACATTTCTTTCTAATCAACGTCAGGATTTTGTATTGCCTAAAAATAAACGATTAGCGACGAGCAATAAAATCAGAACTGTTCCAATAATATCAAAAGAGCGTAAATTGTATTGAGCATGCAAATTGCCGAGTGTTTCAACCATCACTGAAACGGTGCCGACGGCCGCTCATTGACATTTTTTATCAAGTTCAAACTGTGATTCGAATTCATGGAACCATTCGATTGCTTTCTATGCATCGGTTGACTTGTTCCGTTTTTACTGAGTTGCACAGATTAAAAAGTGCAATGGCGCGAATAAAACCGTCGGCGTTTGGACATCCCGGTGAATTTTTAACGCAAATACTGGATATATTTTTAAGGAACAAGCAGCACGAATATACAAAAACTGAATTTGTAATTAGAATATTTAAACTCCTTTAATAACCATACTGTATCGGCAACATAAATTGGCACGTAACAAAAATTATGGATTTTTTTTTTTAATATTTAAAAATAGATTATACAATTTTGAATGATGGAGGGCATCGCAGAGGTCATATTTAATGTGGTTTTAAAGCAGAAACGTCACAAAACGGACAGACTTGACGGCGCCCGGCGCCCGGCGCGCAGCCCGCGCCAGCGCAAAAGAAAGTAGCGTAACTCTAGTACATTACACATTATCCAGTGAGGTATTATTTAATTACTATAAAAGAACTTAATAAATATATTCAAAAATATAGTAAATTTGATGAAAAAGAAAATTACCAGCACAAAAGAAAGAAGCATCACTCTAGTACATTACACATTATCCAGAGGTATTTTTTTTAATAAATATAAAAAAAGATAATATTTATATTCAAAAACATTGTTCAAAATTATAAAAAAAAACATTCGAGAGGTTTTTGTGTGAGCCAAACAAATTAAAAGAAATGATCAATTAAGAATTGTTTATATTAAAAATCACCAATTAAGAACTTAAATGGATTGACATGTAACACGTTCTTTTATTTTTACAATTCCTTTAATTATAATAATAACTAATATTATTATGATGTCGCTCAAACTTTATTTTTATTTTGGTTCTAACATAAAATTTATACATATGTATTTTAAAGCATGTATGATTATAACACATTTTTGTAGATTTTATTACTTAACGAAATATGTGATTCGATTTAAAGGTTTAAAATATACGCAAAAAACTCGAAATTATTTTATATGCGATTTAGTATTTACATTATGCAATCAACACTTTGGTATTTTGTGTATGATTATAAAATATTGAATTGATTTTACTATCGGCAATTACTTCCTGTGTGTCAGTCACAACTTGATGTCGACTTGTTGTTTGACGTAGAGCTTTATACGATTCTTGAACCGAGCCGAAACAAACAATAATAAATTGAAGCCATATTTAGGCTAATAAAATCCGTGTACAATTGTATCGGAACAACGGTGTTTTCGTTTTTTGTTAATTTTATGATTGTTTATTCTAATACAAATTGTTATTGAATAGTTTATTTCTATTTCATAAATATTATATTCTATTTTATACACTTTCTTAATTTTATTTATTCGAAAAAAAAGAGGAAAAGTATTTTATATGTAATGATGAATGTATTTTTACAACATACTGAATAATGTATTGTATACAGATACATACTAATAACCCTCCAATCCGCATTGGGCCAGCGTGGAGGGTCATGGCCCATCCTCCTTAACCATCCATAAGGAAGGTCTGAGCCCCTGCAGTGGGGACGTAAAAGGGCTGGTGACATACTAATACATATACAAAATAAATTGCAGAACTTTTAGTAGTCCTAATCTGAATTGGTGAAGCATTCCTAAGGCGAATAGCAGTGAGGGTAAAATATTTGGAACCGAATACGGTATGACGAAGGAGATTTTGTAGAATAAGGTTGCTACCAGAACGAATATCACGTTGATCACAGGAATCAAGATATTGAAACATAGATTTCAAATATCCTGGGGTAAATGGATCAAATATATGATTAAAATTTTCATATTTCCGACGTAAACGATCAAATTCGCCGAGAAGATTTTGAGTAGTCTCAGTACAGCAGACGTCAGCGTAATCGAGAATAGATAAAACGTTGCGATTTTAGTGCTGAAAGGGAGAAGGAATTTTAGTCTATAAAGGGACCTAAGCGTATTGACAATTTTACGACACACCTCTCCAAATGAGAGAACAGACAATGAGTAGACCCAAGTTCTTAAAATAAGACTGAAACGGAGTAAGTTCATCTTTGTATAGTAACTAATAACCGCCAATCGACGGGAACTACTGATAATAATGCTTTGGCCACTCCAAAATGCTACGGAGGTCCTGATTATAACACGAAATGGCGTCATTGATTATATCTATTACCCCCTATTTTCCCATCCTTATGTATTCTTATCTATACATATCAGTGTGTGACTCATGTTATTAGCTTTTTTATTATTAATTATCTTATAAATATACCTATTTATCTAATTTAAATATATTAAAGAAAACATGTTGATATCTCTATCGTGTATAAACACACGTTCTTAATGGCGGCTGATCTTAACTTTTAACTTTCTTTAGCTATAACATAACACAAAAGACAATGCAATAAAATAAAATTCAACATACTATATAAAGGAAAATGCAACATGGAAGAATTAACAATAATGAGATACCTAAATAAACGGATTAATAGAAATATTTATTTCTGTATTTTATAATGTTTAATAGAAACGCGATAAATTTGTTTAGTCGAACACAGTGCCTGATTTGAAGTATTAAATAAATTATCTTAATTGGTCAAGATACGCCGTTAGTGTAAAATAATAACCGGTCTTATTATATTTTAAATACAACACAACAAAATAATCAACCACTCAAGATTAGCATTAGATGTTGTTCTGATGTTGGATACGGAAAAAAAATTGACAAAACACTCCGTACTGACTTATTTAGAGTTAATTCATGTTTAAATCATTTGTAATTATATAGAAATTATAATTAAAAAAAAAACCGGAAAATAAAAAACACTACACTACTCGTAAATGAATATTATTTACTATTTCGATTATTAAAAATAAAAGTTTTAAAATATATCGCAGTTTATTCTACACTAGCAATTTTCTTCTGTCGCAACTTCTGTCGCATAAATTAAGAGTCGTCGCCCGCGTGTTATGTAACGTCCCGTCAATAAAAGATTTAAAAATCGGTCCGTTTTGAAATCCATCAATGTAATCAAACGATTATATCTTTCTTCTTTATATATTAATATGGATATGCTTTACCTTATCGAATTTGAGACAATGTCATATAAATAAGTTACAGAGACATGAATCTATTCATACGGTTTATTCTGCATAATCTTAAAGAGAAAATGATTTTTACTTACTATATCTAATTTCTCTCGTATTTTTATACTTAACAATATTATCCATATAAGTAGGAACGTAGAATAAATGTCGAAGTAACTGATTGATTATCTAAAAGTCTGCAACTCTCTAGTTTGACTAGAAAAAACGAAAGTCGACTAATTATTATTATCGAACCGCTTGCGTACACATGTTATAACTTATAATTTCATTGTAATTGAACCATTAACAAGCTGCCTCGGTTAACTTTAGGAGCAGACAATAAAAATGTTATGATTAATGTATATTTAAAGTTGTAAAACTTTTATACATTTTTATCAGAGATATTTTGGTGGCGAATCTCATTGCATAAACTTGATTGTGGTTGAATCAATAAATAAAAAACAGTATAGCTTCTTGTTAAAGATTTAATCGTATGAAACAAACTGCGTTTTCAATTCTATGAAAGACTAAAATTACAGGAATATTCCTTTTCTAAAATGAGTATGACATTGACAATGTGAACTCGGCAGTTAGCTAATAGTTAAGGGATTAACAGAATGTTTTATGTAACAAATTTGTTACTTAGTTTACTTCAAAAAACGTCATAAAACCTATAATATTTATACTAAAATCTACTTTAAGAGCCGAGTACGATCAGCTGTAAAATTTCTGTAACAAATTTTTTTGCACTTTTATATTACACAAATGCAGCATTATATGAGGTTTGTTTTAAAATAACCAAGTAATACTCTTTCGTAGCTATGAAGAAAAACAATAAAACCTTTTTAAATTTGGAACGGAGCCTCGAAAATTTGATAGGTCGACGTGGGGGTGGTATTCTGAAACCCCACAAGTGGAGGTCGCCGGCTATGATGGGATTACGGAGTTACGTGCGCGGCAATACAACTATAAACTCCATGCCTGTACAGTTATCCTTGTAATCTTTAACGTTTGGCTGTATGGATTGATCTTATTGCAAATTCGAAATATTTGAAGAATATAAAAACTTCAAGATTCCTCCATGAAATTCACCGTAATGAAACGCAGAATATTGTTTTCCTACGTTGGGTACCCTTTTTATATGTCGATCTCGCAGCAACACAGTATTTTGAAATTAATCAATTGTCTGTGT